GGCGTTGCTCAGCAAGCGGCGGTGAGCAGAAGTTGGAAACCAGCCCCCATAGCTGCAACGCCGGGATCGACGCATGCTGCGCGAGAAGGATGGGCCGTCGCAGCAGGCCCCAGCTCTGCTCAGCGAGCGGCGGTGAGAGGGAGCTGCAAACCAGCGTCATAGGCTACGGGACTGGGTCCAGCCCTTGCGTCGCGAGGTGGGCAAGCCATTACAGCAGGCCTTGGCGCTGCTCACCGAGTCGTGGCGAGGAGGAGCTGGAGACCAGCCTCAGCAGCTACAGCGCCGGGATCGGCGCCCGCGGTGCGAGAGGGATGAGCCGTCGCATCAGGTTCCGGCACCGCCCAGCGAGCTGCGGCATGAGGGTGCGAGGGACCAGCTTCATCGGCTACAACGCGGTTGCAGGTGAGGTGCTCTTCGACAGTTTCGTTCACGCGGGGGGGTTGACCTCCGTCCTGACGTGATGGCGGAGGACATCGAAGATGGCTTAGGCTGCGGAGTATTTTGTTCGATTCGTCCCTGGCATTCCTGTGACGCTCTTTGGTCATTTGTTCCTCGCCATGTTCACTTTTCTTTTTTCAGGTTTAGCGGTCGTTCAGTTTTTCCTGATGTGCAGCTCGTGGGGGTCATCGGCTACAGCGCTGGGGTCAACGCCTGCGCCACGGGGCGGCGGAGCCGCAGTGGCAGGCTTTGGCGCTGCTGGGCTGTCCACGTCAAGGTGCCTGTGCCCCCGACGTTCGCTGCGTCTGGGTCGGGCCGCAGGATCCGCCTCCTCACCTGTGGTGCTTATCTCTGCTCACCTTCTCCCCCCTCCTCCTCCTCCTCCCTCCTCCTCCTCCTCCTCCTCCTCCTCCTCCTCCTCCTCCTCCTCCTCCTCCTCCTCCTCCTCCTCCTCCCTCCCCCTCCTCCTACTCCTCCTCCTTCTCCCCCTCCTCCCTCATCCCTCCTCTCTCCTCCCTCCTCCTTCCCCCTTCCTCCTCCTCCTCCTCCTCCTCCTCCTCCTCCTCCTCACCTTTGTGGTGTCTCACTCCCATCGCTGAAGTGGGGGCGTCAAGTTTTCTGGCAGCTGCAAGGGGCCCTGCGGAGCGCGCAGGGCTTTTGGAGCCGCCACCCGTAAGAGAGGCATCACCTCTATCCCCAATTTCTCTTTTTCCGCTATCGCATCACTACTCTTCTCGCCCGTCCCTCTCTCTCCCCATCTCTGACCCTGCTGATCTGCGTGAGGGGTACCGCCGAATTTCAGACATGTGGCACATCCGACAGGTTTTTCGACCCTGACTCCGCCGATCTGCGTGAGGGGTGCCGCCGAATTTCAGACATGTGGCAAATCCCATCGGCTTTTCGACCTTGACTCCGCCTATCTGCATGAGGGGTGCCGCCGAATTTCAGAAATGTGGCAAATCCCATTGGTTTTTCGAGCCTGACCCCGTCGATCAGGTTGATGGTTTTGGAGGCACGAATATTGCAAACTTACGATGGTTTATGGTTTCGGACACGCGAAAATAATTTAATTCGCGAGGGTTCATGGCTTCGGGGACGCGAATATGGAGTAAGTTACGAACGTTTGTGGCCTCGGGGACGTACGCATTGCGTAATTTACAAGGTTTGATGGCTCCGGGGACACGAACATGGTGCAAATTACAATGGCTTATGGTTTCGGAGACGCGAACATCATGTAATTTACGAGGGCCTATGGCTTTGGGGTCGCGAATCTTGATTGATTTACGGGCGTTTGTGGCCTCGGGGACGCAAGCATTGCGTAATTTACGAGGGTGTATTGCTTCGGTGACACGAGCATGGCGTAGTTTGAAATGGTTTCATGGCTTCGGGGACGCGACGATTATGACTTCGCGATGGCTTATGGCCTCGGGGACACGAATCTTGTGCAATGTACGAGGTTTATGGTTTCGGGGGCGCGAATGTCATGTATTTTTACGTGTCCCAAGCCCCACCCAGGAATTCAGAGCACGCGACTCGGGCGTGGTAATCCAGACACGTTTCGGCTCCTATAGCTAGACATATACAGAGAGAGAGAGAACGAAAAACAGAGAGAGAGAGAGAGAGACATATGGAACAAAACAAGGGTTGGGCCGATGTCTTGCCAACTGATTGGGCCGTGTGTTCCCCTAGCCGTTGCGGAAACTTTTGGGGAATCATTGAGGGGGGAAGAGGAGGATGAGAAGATAGAGGGGAATGGGGGTTTCGTGTGGCGTCTCGGGGTCTTTTCGGGGCCTCTCGGGGCTCTCTTGGGGCCTCTTGGGGGGCTCTTGGATCATCTTGGGGCTCTCTTGGCCCGTTTGAGGCCTTCGGTGGCCGTCTTGGGGCTCTCTTGGGACGCCCGTGGTCCGTTTTGGAGACGACTTTGGCCGTACTGTGGCCTTCTTGGGTGGCTTTTCGGCAGTCTTGAGCCCCTCCTTGCCCGTCGTGGGACAGTCTTCGGAGCTGCTTGGGTTGTTCGGGGCCCGTCTTGGGGTCCTCTTGGGGGCCGCGTTGGCCGTATTGTTTCCAACTCTGATGCTTCTGAGGCCGTCTTCGGACGTTGGAAGCCCGAAACGGCGAGACCGCAATCGTCAAACACACAATCGGACAGTCAATCTGTGTGGCCTCTTCGGGCCCTCCTGGAAGGCCTCCTGGATCCCTTGAGGGCCGTCTTGGAGCATCTGGGGCGAACTCGGAGGCCTCTTGGGATTTTGCTGGGCCGTCCTTGAGACCATGTTGGGCCGTCTCGGGCCCGCTTGGGCGCCGCTTTGGCCTCCCCGTGGAGGCCATCGCGAGGCCATGCTGGGCGGGTCGGCTGTCGGGACGCGAGTGTTTGATGGTTTGCGGGTGGTGGGCGGGATCGGCCGAGGCCCCTTTCTGGGAGTGTGCCAGAGGGGATCGGATCGAGCAGGCAAGATGTCCAGCAGGCCATGCACTCCTTGGCAAGCACAGGCGTCAAGGCTGCAAAGGGCTGATGGGCCTGTTTCCCACCACCAGCACCATAAGTTGGAGGGGGGAAAGAGGAGGAGTAGGAGTAGGAGGAGGAGGAGGAGGAGGAGGAGGAGGAGGAGGAGGACCCCCTCCCCCTCCAATACATGGTGGTGGTGGTGGTGGTGGAAAACAAGCCCATCAAGGGCGGCCAGTGAGTTGTGTTTTGGCCCAGCTGGGTACACAAAACAGTTGTTCCCCGGGGGCAGGCGGCCTCCGCGCGCTTGCACTCGGGCCGGAGGGCAGGCCCGCTCGGTTGCCGCTAGCTGCCCTCTGCAACCTTAGCAGGCACGGGGGGCCGGCCCCTCTCGGAGGCACCCGACGGCGGCGAGCAGCCTGTGTGGCCAGGCCTGGGGCCGAGGCCTCGCTCTGCTCTGCCGGGCAAGGGGTATCCTGGGCCGGGGTGGAAACCTTGGGGGAGAACCTGGGGATAGAAATAGAGGAGACGAGGGAGAAGGAGGATAAGGAGGAGGAGGAGGAGGAGGAGGAGGAGGAGGAGGAAGAAGAAGATGACGCCTCTTAGGGGGAATCTGAGGGCCTCTTGGGGGCCTCATGGGGCCTCTTGATGGCCTCTGGGGGCACATGAGGGACCGCTTCATCTCCGGAGGCCATCTTGTGGGCCCCACTTTGCCGTCTCTGGGGCATACTTGGGATGCGTTCGGGCCGTCTTGGTCGCTTTTTGGGCCAGCTTGGGGCCCTCTTCGGGCGGTCTTGAGTGCTTCTCGGGCCGTCTTGGGGCCCTCTTGGCCCGCCTTCTTGGGTGGCTTCTGGTGCCGTCTTGTGGCTATTTTGGAGGCCCATGGTGTCGCCTTCGGTTGTCGGAAGCTCGAGAGGCGAAAAAGGGAAACTTGACGGAATGTAAATGGTTTGCGCCTCCTGAAGGTGCTCCCGCAGCCCTCTTGGAGCGTCTTGGCGCCTCTTGGGGCGTCTCCCAGGTCATCGTGGACAGTCTTGGAGTCTTTAGATTTGGCCGTCCTGGGCTCTTTCAGGGCCATCTCGGCTGCCTTGGAGGCGTCTTAGAGGCCAGCGCGGGCAGACTGGCCATCTTCAGCGTACGTACTTGTTCTCCGGTTCGCACGGCTCTTTCCGTATGGCTGCAGGGATTTTTGTCGGAAGGGTTTAAGACAGTCAACACATCTCGGCATGCCAAGCACCCTTGTGACAAGCACAAGGGGCGGCGAAGAGTGGCCTGCGGCTCATCCCGGCACTGCATTGTGCGTGGGTTCTGTGTCCTGGGCTGTGAGTCAGGGGCCTCTTGGACACCTGTTGGGATATCCTGGGGATCCTCTAGGACTTCACTCGGAAGCAGTTTTGAGGTGCACGGGGGCGTCTCCTCGTGAGACTCTTGGGGGCCTCTTGGCGAGTCGTTTGGCCGGGGGGAGGTTGTTTGTTTGCCTCGTGGGGCTTCTAGAGGATCTCTTGTGCCGCCGTGGGGTCATCTTGCACGTCTCGGAGTGCTTTGAAGATGTTTCTGGACGCTCTTGGAGCGTCTTCGGGGTGGGCGCCTCGGGGCCCTCTTGGCGCGTCTTTGGGCCCTCGGGCCTGAGGAAAAGCCACGCGGCAAGTTGCAAGCGGCACGCGCGGAAGATCCAGGAGCGCTTGGTGACGCCTGGCATTCGGGGCTGCGGGGCTCACAAAGGGCACGTGCACTATGCAATCTTCCATGCTACGTCGAGAGAACTCTCGGGGAGCTGAGGACCCTCCACTTCGTGCCTCGGGGCGCGGCGGTGGATACTGATACACGGTCAGGATCTGCTTGTTCTTCGCGTGTCCGCCGCCATTTCTGATCCACCACGTCTCGCAGCGGCGCGCTGACCACCGTCCCGCCTCCGAGCGTAGGCAGTCCGAGCCGTGTCCCAGGTTCCGCCGCGCGGCGCGGAGCGACACGCCATCAGGTCGCTGGGCGTGGCGTGTCGCCGGGGCCGCCGCCGCGACGCGCCGAGCAGGCGTTCCCGACCGTGCACACGGCGCCCGAAGACAGCGACGACGACGACGGCGACGACGACGACGACGAGTGTGCGGGCCGCGCAGTGCAGGCGATGGCCGCGAAGCTCAAGGCCTTGATCGAGCACGCGCAGACGGTAAGAGAGGACCCGGCCGGCCGCGGCGGCTGGGCCTCCGCCTTCGAATTGGCAGGGACGGCACAGCCATCTGGAGGGTTTCTCCGAAGGGCTCAGGCGACCCGTCCTCCTCCTCCTCCTCCTCTTACTCCTCCTCCTCCCTCCTCCTCCTCCCTCCTCCTCCCTCCTCCTGGTTTTCCTCCTCCTCCTCCTCCTCCTCCTCCTCCTCCTCCCTCCCCCTCCCTCCCCCTCCCCCCCTCCTCCCCCTCCCTCCTCCTCCTCCTCCTCCCTCCTCCTCCTCCTCCTCCTCCTCCTCGGGTCGCCTACGGCCCAGGGGGAAACCGTGCACACCCATGGACTTTGGGGGTCCGCGCGGACTTCCCAGATCGACGCCGGGCCCCCGCTGGCGGAGCGCGCCCAACGGGACGTCTCCAGCGTTTCGGGGTCGGCAAAGAGGGGGGTGATGACTAGGGGGGGGTGGATATCATGGCGGGGGCCATGATATTTCCCCAGATTTCATGGTGCCTCTTCTTATTTCATTACGTCCCTGGCCCCCCCACTGGGCCGCGCACATGCCGCCGGTCATGATTTGCGCACCCCCCTCTTGGACACCCCCCTCTTGGCCGCTCCCGAGCGTTAAGTCGGGCCTGTCCCTCTACGGGAGGAACAGCCAAAAGTAGTCCAGCAATAGTCTGGGGACGATCTTCTGACAAATTCTTGAGCATGTTTGAGCATGGTTTAAGTCTGTTTCACGGTTCGCCCAAAATCCGCCTGTGGTTAAGTCCAGCGCCGCCGCCTCCTCCACTTTGCCCTTCCCTGGCACTCCTCCCCCATCATCTCCCTCCGGGAGGCAATCTGGGAGGAAGGGGGGAGGGAGACGGGGAGGAAGAGGGGAGAGATTCCCCTCTCCCAAATATTCATCGAGAGTGCCACTCTCCTCTCACCCCTGGGGATGGCCCGGGAGTCGCCTGCCCCTCTGCGTATGTTTTTTTCCACATGATTTCAACACTCGGTCTTCGCATGTTGTCCAATCGGAACAGGTCCGGTGCCTCAGAACAGTGTTGCCGTTGTAGCGTGGGCCTGGCCTCATGTTAGGATCGGCGCTGTGCGCTCCCATCGTTCACAACGTCGCTTGCCCCTTCGCGGGCCACGCTTCTGCAGCCGAGCGATTCCTCGTCGTCGTCGCCCCGCTCCTTGTGCTTTTCCCGCCTGCCCGTGGTCATCCTGTGCCTCCCGCTTACTCCAGCTCCGGCTGCTGCCGTTCCTCCTCCTCCTCCTCACCCTCCTCCTCCTGGTTTTCCTCCTCCTCCTCCTCCTCTTCACCCTCCTCCTCCTTCTGGTCTTCCTCCTCTTGGTCTTCCTCCTCTTGGTCTTCCTCCTCCTGGTCTTCCTCCTCCTGGTCTTTCTCCTCCTCCTCCTCCTCCTCCTCCTCCTCCTCCATCCTCAGGCCTCTCCTCCCCCCCTCGGGGGCTGTTCCTTGCTGGAAGCCTGGTGGGATGTGTGGTGGCTGGCGTCCGCTTGCGGATGCTAGGCGCACGCGCATTGCTGTGGCTTCGGCTTGATATGGCCCCCGCCCCCTCCTCGCCCTCCCTTCCCTCCTTTCTCCTGGGTCGTTGCTGCCTCTTCGCATGCACCGATCCCCTCTCTGACGGCAAGTTGTGGGACTTGGTGCCCTGAGCCGTGCACTGGCAAATCCCGCGAGGGATTGCCATTGGTGCCCCGCGTCCAGTGCGGTGCCGAGCAGACGTGTGTGGATGGAGCTCCCCCTATCGATGTCGTAGTTCGATCGACCTCGGCCTTCTCTTAGAGTGCCTGCCTGCCTGTCTCGTTCTTCATCGTCCTCTTCCTCCTGCTCGTCCCTCCTGCTCCATCCGCCACCTCCTCCAACGTGCGCCAACTCCCCTTTTTGGATTGCGCATGGCACGATGGGGTCATTTTTGGAGCTCCAGGTCTGCTATGGTCCAGATAGTTATTGCTTGAGCGCCCTAGCTTGTCCTCCCTCCTCTGCCTCTCCCCTGCTCCTCCCCTCTGTTCCTCCTCTCCTCCTCTCCGTGCCGCCCATCAGGAGTTCCACAAAGTGCGCCAGACGCACGTGCAGCGCATCGAGGACGAGCAGCGAGAGCGAGAGCAGCAGGAAAAGACTGAGGACAACCCAGACCAGGCGGATGAGGCCGAGCCGGAGGCAACGCATCAGGCAGGTGGGGCGGGGAGGAGGAGCAGCAGGATGGGTGGGGAGGAGGATGATGGCTCCTGGTTGTTCTCGCTGTTTTGCCTCTTGGAGTGTCCTAGTTGCCACGGCTAGATCCGCTTCAGAATCTTGGTTATAGCGCGCTCCAGGATAGGTATGGGGATCGAGGTAGAGGAAGGAAGGGGCGGATGCAGTAGGAGGAGGGCGTGGGCGGAGGAGGGACGAATGCGGAAGGTGGCTGGGGGCGGAGGTGATACGAGGACACATGGAGGAGGAGCAGCAGCAGGAGGACCATCATCAGGTAACCCGATGAGACAGGCGAGGCTGAGTAGGAAGAGGAGAAAGTGGCACAAGATGAGGTGGAGGAGGACGTGGAGTAGAATGGCCAGGGGGAGGCAGACGGCAATGGGGGAGGCATGAGGAGGGATGTCAGAGGGAGGCATGGGAGGGAGGGACGCCACCTGGAAAGGGGGGGAGGGTAGGACTCTCATCCGGATGCCTTGAAACATGCAGTCTTCTAGCTCACCGTCGTGCAGCCATGCAAGTATTCAGCATTAGAGTCAACGCGCATAGTAAGGGCGCGCGCCTTCTCTGGGATACCCTTGTGTCCTTGCCTCTGCGGCCCGTCCTTTGCCGTTTCCACTGGCCAGCCTTTCAGGCCGCCGCTCAACAGATCCCCACTTTGGCCTCTCAGGGTCTTGCGTCCTTACCACCCGCCCTTACTGTACGTTCTCACTGTGTGTGCAGTTGGTTCCCCGGGATTGGCTGCGCGCATCGCGCTGCAGACCTGGCGTATGGCCGCACACGGGCGCGGCCGAGACCCCTGGTGTGTGCAACCACCCGCAATGTGTGCGGCAGCACCATGTGCGCGTCACGGCCGTGCGCGGCGGGCTGCGCTGCTGCGGTCGTTTGGGCGTTGCGCGCGCTTTTCCTTTGCAGTTTTTTTTCCGTGCGCACTGCCCTACCCTTCTCCTCTCGAGCAGCGGGCCGAGGTGGAGTGGGAGGCGAGAGAGAGAGGCAGCTCGAGGGGAGAAGAGGACGATGAGGAGATGGGGGCGGACGAAGTGGAACATCGGGCTGAGGAGAAAAGGGGAACGACGAGGAGGCTGGGACAGGGGGAGGAGGGGGAGGGGGAGGGGCAAGCTAGGTGCGCGCGCGTCATATCTGACGTCCTACCCCTCCCTCCCATCCCTTACCATGGCGCTGATTTTCTCTATCCGCGGACTAGTGGGTGGTGGTGCGCGTGCGTGCATGCGTGCGTGCGTGTGTGCGTGGTTGTGGTGCTGGTGCTGGTGCTGGTGCTGGTGCTGGTGCTGGTGCTGGTGCTGGTGCTGGTGCTGGTGGTGCTGGTGGTGCTGGTGGTGGTGGTGGTGGTGCTGCTGGTGGTGCTGGTGGTGCTGGTGGTGCTGGTGCTGGTGGTGGTGGTGGTGTGTGTGTGTGTGTGTGTGTGCGTGTGAGCGCGTGTGCTGTGGCATGGCACGGGAAATGACGCCAGCGCTGCAGCGGGAGCACGAGTCGAAACAGGCGGAAGCGCGGAAATGAGGCCAGCGTTGCAGCGGGGACACGATTCGGAACGAGCGGAAACACGGAAATGAGGCCAGCGTTGCAGCGGGAGCGCGATTCGGAACGAGCGGGGCCCGAAAATGAGGCCGGCGCCTCGGCGAGAGCAGCATTTTGAAAAAAACACCAGCGAAAACCCGTTTCCCGGGAATCCTGTGTGTAAAAAAACAATACGCGGGGGGGTGTCGGATATCTTCGGGACGCCATCAGGGGAAGTGGGGGAGTATTTTCATATTGTGTAACTGTGGAGGGGGAGGGTGTTTTTGTCAGAGTCGGCCACAGACCAGTGCATTGTAGCAACCATGTCTTACCTTGCTCAGATGCGCTCTCTCTCCGCTGCTGTTTGGATCAGGGATCGTTCGCAGTGCGGGGCACGAGATAAAACCTTGCATGTTGCTTTCTCTGCAAATCATGTGGTTGGCCAGGGGAAAGCTGTGGCTTTCCCATTGGTAGCGGAGCAGTTTGCTCCAGCGTCCTAGGAGGGCCGCCCAGTGCTTGCCGGGAGGCGCCGGCAGACGACAGACCACAGAATGACTACAGAGTCCACGGATCCGAAGGGGTTTCGGTATTTTCACGGAGATAGCGGACAAGGCAGCAGTCAGGAGCTGCGAAAGTGGATCAAGTGGGTTCGCTCAGCGATGGCGTGCCGCAAGTTGGAGGCCACACAGAAAGGGCCCTTCGTCTACACTTTGCTGCAGGGTTCAGCGCTGGAGGTTGTGGACCACCTCGAGTTTGAAGACTATGAGGTAGAGGGCGGTGAACAATTTTTGATCGATCTCTTGTTGAATCGCTGGCCCGTGAAAGAACAGGAAGATATCCTGGGCGAGCACTTGGAGGCGGTGTTCGGACTTCAGGGACGGGAAGGAGAACCCATCGCGGCTTGGCTGGGCAGGGCCAAGGGGGTGTTCAAGAAGTGTGGCGTCAAAGCCAACGTGCAGTTCCCGACGGAGGCACAGGCTTGGATCCTGCTGCACCGGTGCGGGTTTACGCCCGACCAACGAGCCATCGTGAAGGCGAAGGCGACGAAGTACACGGCGGATGACATGGAGGTGGCGATCAGAGTTGTGTTTCCCGCTTACAAGGTGCCGAAGCTACGACGCGTCGAGGCAGGCGCGTTCCTGGCTGACCAAGCAGAGGATGATGAAGATGGCTTTCCACCCTCCCCACGGCCGTGGCCGTGCGAGCCGGGGACGGTCCAGGAGGATGATTTCGCAGATGTGGACGCGCTCCTGGCCGAGGGCTCCCCGGAGGCAGCAGCTCCCGAGGAAGTGCTGGCGGCCACGTGGAAGGAGAGACGCCGGGAGATCAACGATGCTCGCACGACGCGAAACTTCCAGAAGGCAGACAAGCTGCAGATCACCTTCCGCCGGGAGTTCGAGGAGGCCAAGCGGAAGACACGGTGCCATGCCTGCAAGCAGATCGGTCACTGGTCTCGCGAGTGCCCGAAGAAGAAGGGCAAGGGTTTCGGCAAGCGCGGCAAGCAGTCGACGGCGGCGGCGGGGGCCGCGTTCGTGGTCCTGGAAGGAGCCGGAGCGCGCGACGCCAGCCTTGCCACCGTGCTGCAGCAGATGCGGGCTCGTCGTGCCGCGGCGGAGCCGGGCGGGGACTTCCCCGTGGAGATCCTCTTCGCGTGCCCCACGGGCAAGGGCGTTCTGGGCCCTGGCTGTGGCCGGGCGCTCATCGGGGAGCACCCGCCGGCGAAGCTGAAGTCCTTGTTGGAGTCGAGAGGCCAGCAAGTGGGGTCCTATGAGGAGATGAACGTGTTCAGGTTCGGGAACAGCGGGCGCGAGGAGTCGCGTCTGGCGGTCAAGATCCCCGTCGAGATCGGCCAGGTGCAGGGCTACATCGCGGCTGCGGTGGCACGCGGAGACGTTCCGCTCCTGCTGAGCAAGCCGCTGCTGAAGGCTCTTCAGGGCCGCATGGATTTCACGACGAATCAGATTTCGTGCGATGCCCTGGGGGCCACGGTGGACCTCGAGGAGACGGAGTCTGGCAACTATAGCATGCCAGTGGTCGCAGGCACCACGGATGTCTGCACGGTGACGGCCAAGACGCCGAAGGAGCTCACAACGGAGCTTGAATTCGACGGGCCCGGTGGAGGAGGAGAAGGAAAAGGCCACGGAGGACACGCAGGAGGAGATCTCGAAGGAGGCGAACGAGGAGGAGGAGACGACGAAACAGCTGATCCCCGGGGCCGCGGCGAACATTGAGGAGCCCGGGACCTCGGTACTGAAACGCAAAACCCGACGCCGGTTACAAGAGCGTCTTCGGACGGCTCTAGGTGTTTCTCAGGAGAAAGTACAATGGCGGGTTTCGGAACTGTTTTCCCCACCTCGAATGTTGAAGCGGGCCGAAGAGGCCATGCGTGGAACGGGGCGCAGTTATGATTTACTGACGGGCTACGATCTGTCTGACCGAACGGTGCAACAGGAGGTCACCAATGAGCTGAAACGGTTCCGACCCCGGGTGCTGGTGGCTTGTCCCCCGGGTACGTGGCGCGGCGGCTTTGCGACGGTGAACGCCCGACTGCACAGCATGACGGAACATGTGCGTATGGTGCGGGAGGCACGCGCGCACATACGGTGCTGTATATGCGAAATACATACACAACTCGATCGCGGATACGATGCCGTGTTTGAGCACCCCGTGCGATCGATTGCGTGGAGGATGCCCGAGATGCAACGTTTACGAGAACGGATGCTGGAAGTATCGACCGATATGTGCGCGCACGGTCTACGAGAAACCGGGGGCCCCAACTTTATAAAGAAACAGACGCGTTTGCTGGTTTCGCCCCAACGACTAGTTCAATGTCTGGGTAAACGTTGTCCCGGGAACCATCGCCATGTGACCATCGAAGGAACGTCGAACGGTATTTCCAGGAGTAAATTAGGCAGGTTTATATACGACGGACTTTTGCGAAGCGATCGTACGAGGCACCGACGACCTGGCGCAGGAGCTGAGTTTTGAGCAGGAGCTGTCGCTTCTGCCCCTGGAGGCCAGCCTACGCGAGGCCTCGCAACGTGGGCGCCTGCAGCTGCTAGAGGCCGGACTGTTTCAGCGCTGCCTGGCCGCGGGCCTGGAAGATCCCGAGGCCGAACAGGACCAGCCTGACCTTCCTTCCCCCATTGCCAATGCTCAGAACATCCGAAATGCTCTCCGAAAGCTACGCGTTAACCTGGGCCATGCGGCTCCTCGAGAGATGGTTCGAATCCTGCGACACGGTGGAGGGCGCGATGAGGCCATTCGGCTAGCTCGAAGTTTTCGGCGCGACACCTGCGACGAAAACAAAATGCCGAAACCATGTGGAACCGTCTCGGGGCACCGGATTTTGGAATTTAACAAACAGGTGGAAATCGATGGGGTAAACATTCCAGGCTGGAAAGGACCCACACATACGGTCCCCGCTCTCAATATTGTGGACGACGCGTCGTCCTTCCAGGCTATGG